GAGTCTCTGAGTACTTGGAAAAATCAGAGTATAAAGGACGGTAGCGGAGGACTGAATGGTTATTGAATAAGCCATTATTTTTTATTATCCACCGGAAGTCTTTCATGATGGGTTAAAGGGTCCGAGATTGTTGTCAGGATTTGGTGTGTGTGCATGACGTGTGTGCACAGAAAGAAAAAAACAACAGCTCTTTTCTCATCATGGCTCTCAGTTGTAAAACACTTTCTCTTTGCAGAGGCTTGGAGTTCTGATGGCAGACAGACAATGATGGATTCTCCTCGCGCTAGGCCTCAGTTCTCAAACAGCCATTATCATTACGGACCCTGCTGACTGCAGGGCTCATTTGGACAAACGGAGGGGGCTGTTGATATTTGAGGGAAGCCACGTGTAAGAGTGATGAGGAAAACATAGCCTCTTTGCCCAGTTCCCTCTTTCTCATGCACACTCTTCTCTCTCTCATCCTTTTTCCAGCTTTCATTTGCCCTATTTTTTCCCGTTTTACTTCCCCTGCCTCTCTTTCTCTCACTCTCTCCTTCCTGTGTCCTTGTCTCCTCTGTGTACCCCCCCCCACACACACACACACACACACACGAACGTGTACGCTGCCCTCTAAGACTGCCCTGCCCCCACACAGTGTCTCTCTCAAATTAATGTGAAGATATTGACAAGTGATGGGCTTAGAAGGTATAGATCATCAGGAGGGAGAGGAAAAGAGAGACGAGACCAAGCTGAACTGCTCCTTACTAAATGAGGGCTTTCCCTGTTGCTACCCAGCAGCTTACGTCTGTAAGTGGTGGCTGCAGAAGTGCAGCAGTTAATCAGGTGTTTCTCATACTCGGTCTTCAAGAAAGCGTGATGGGTGGAGGCGAGAGGTAAAACAATGACTTTTTCAGGCTTACATACACAAAGTATAAAATAAAAGCCAGGCACATAAATATGTGTCACACTTGCACACTACTCTGTGCAAACTGGATAAAGCTGCTAACAATAAGCAGAGGACCACTTGGTCAATATGCCAGTTACCCAGATGAAGGTAAGGAAAGGGCAAATCATAGCCAATCAGTGAAGAGCTTTCACTGTCCTCTAGCAAGAGCTGACCCCCTGACCCTATTTGATGACCCTCAGGCCAAAGGTCAACACTCCAGGGGTCAGAGGGCATCTCCATAGACTGGCCAGAGAGGCACTGTCATGGCAACAGCACTGCCTAAAGAATGGTAAGGTGTGGCCGGCGTGTGGATTGGAAGATGGTGATGTGATGGTACCTGATTTGTTACAAACTTAAATTTGAGGGGTTTTCCGTTTTATTGTTGTGTACATAAAATACATTTTATACCTCTGCTCTGGTACCTATGGAAATTTGTTAACCTGGGTTCTTTTCTGATGTCACGGCTCTCATGTCTTTGATTTGTCAGCAGTTTAACCGCTTCACTCATTTCCCTCATTCAAATGTGTGTTTGAAACTCAAGGGGAGGAAATAGACAAATTAATCAAATGTGTACACAAGAACTTCTTTCTTCCCCAATAAGTCATCTAAGTCATCCAAAGTTTGGTAAGATTAATGTTGTGACCCTTTACAAGGAGCCTGAACTTTAGCTTTAGAACAAGTGAATTGCCCCATGTTACTAAACCCTAAGTAATAAGTGAGGTCATTTTTTTCAATGCTTAAATCCTTCATATTTTAAATAAATTATTCCAGTTTACATAACTGGCATTTTGTATTGGACACAGCATTTACATACGCAAAAAAAGATTCTTTCCTCATGAAGTAAAAATGTTGAATAAAATGTAACTGGACTATATAGAAATCAATAGGGAAGGAAATATATAAATTAATACAATTCAAGGAAATATGCATGGTGTACCAATCACATAATTTTCATTATACTAAAATCCATTAAATTCAAATACATTGTTCTTCTGCAACAAAATCACATAGAAAATTTTACATGTAATTAAATTACTATAAGTCAACAATATATATTTTAAGTGCATTTTGGGACTTCTGTATTTCATATATAGCCTGTTCTGGATGTTTATTTCATTCTGTTGCTTCTGTTAATCACCTGTTTTAAGAGCCGGTGTACCTTTTGTACTGGAATCCATGCTGGGTTGCACCATCTTGTGGTGGTTGTGCGCACAGCTCCTGTGGTATTGCTGCTTCTATTAAACTTAGCTGCTAGTATATCAAGTACAATTGTGTTAGTCCATTAATTCACATAGACTGTCGACTGACCTATGTGCTCTGTCCCATGCTTGTGTTAAATTGCAAATAAATTGCTCCAACTGGGTCACTTATGGACTTTTAAGTTGGTTGCCAACATAGAGATGTACTTGTCTGGTTCCAGTGTAATATTAAATGAGCAAATGGTAAACTTATCATTACTCAATAGTCCACATTTTTGTCTGGGTTCAACCTCACCTCATGGTACAAACAGCATGAAATAGAAAAACTGAGGGGTAAAGTTTTTCTATTGACCTTTCCTGCTCAGCAATACTCAGTTGAGTAAGCCTATTTGTAGGCTGTGTAACTCTGTAGAGGTGTAACATGTGGACTAAAGTGAAAGTAAATTAAAGTGAACAAAGGATATTCAAAAGTCCTGTCCCTAATTGTACACTGTAGCGCTGTCAAAGTAACTGCTGTTTACTGCTAACAGGTATGTTTCCAGTAGAACAGAGGCATTGAAAAGAGGGAGGTTGGTATGAGAACTTGCCCTGAGAGCACAAGAGCTACAAAACTTTCAAAGAGAAATTGGGCAATGATATTAGCAATTACAGGTCTGCTGCAGCCGATCCCTCGTCTCCCTACTTGAACCTTCACTCAGGTTATTCAGGTACAGTCAAGAAGGACAGCACATCACGTTGCTCTTTCTTTCCATGTGTGTGTAGGAATATACATTACTGTGTGTACAGCCACATAGGTAATGCATATTCAGTTCAATTAAGTTCTGTTTTATTTATATAGAACCAAATCACAACAAAAGTTGCCTCAAGGTGCTATAAACTGTAAGCTACACACCCAACAATAATACAAAGAAAACAGAGAAAAACGCGATGACCAAGCCCTTAGGCGACAGTGGGAACGAAAAAGTCAGTTTTAGCAGAAAGAAACCTGCCACTTCTAATTTCATTGTACCTGTGACAACGACAATAATGACATTCTGATTCTGATTCCAGCAGAACCAGGCTCAGGGAGGGGCGGCCATCTGCTACCACCGGATGGGGGTGAGTAGGATAAAGGAGCCTCTGTGGAAGAGAGCCAGAGATTAATAATAACAAATAATTAAGCAGCCTACTCCTATTGCAGCATAACTAAGGGAGGATTCAGGGTCACCTGATCCAGCCCTAACTATATGCTTTAGAAAAAAAGAAAGTTTTAAACCTAATCTTGAAAGTAGAGATAATGTCTGTCTCCTGAATCCAAAGCTGGTTCCACAGAAGGGGCCAATAAAGAGAAGTTAATATACAAGAAATAAGCTCTCTTTTTCTAGTACCTGTCAATATTCTCACTGCAGCATTTTAGATGAATTCAATTTTCAGGGAATTTTCAGGACATCTTGATAATAACGAATTACAGTCCAGCCTAGAGGTATTAAATGCATGAACTAGTTTTTCAGCTTCACTCTGAGATAGGATTTTTCAAATTTTACAGATATTGCGCAAATGGCAGTCCTATTTGTTCAATATGTGCATTAAAGGACATATCCTGGTCAAAAATAACTCCAAGATTCCTATCAGTGTTTCTGGAGGCCAGATTAATGCCATCCAGAATGGACATCTGTCTAGAAACCGCATTTCTACGATTTTTAGGTCTTTATGTCTTTAAGACATTCCTGCAGTTTAACTAACTTGTGTGTGTTATCTGGCTTGATCGACAGATAGTCATATGAGCAACAACAATAACATAAAATGTACATTTAAAAAAAGTTACATTAACATAAAATAATTTGATTTTTTTTAAATAAAAGTTATGGCGCTGTTTATAAAAAATTAGTAATTTTGTAATTAAATAAAAGGCAGTGACAAACAAAAATAAACAAACAAAAAAAACGTGTTTAGTCTGGATATATACGAAATGAGATTTGGAGAGCTGGTGTTTGATGCACGGAGCAGGAAAACTGAGAACAGAGTGTTTCTCTGCGTTCACAGTCAGTGTTTATGGTTTCTAACCCTGCGGCAGCATGTGGGAAGAGAAGTTCCTTTTTTATTCCGACGTTGATGTGAACGCTTGTTATGACTAACTAGGCTTGGTATTAACAATGACAACTAACAGATTCGTTTATAAGACAGCTGTGCAGATGTGTCCGCAATATAACTAATCCCGAAATCCCGACTGATCATCGAGCATTCAGCGAGCAGGGAGTTATCAGTATGTGTAAGGGAAAGAAGTAGTCTAGTGGCAGATGGTATCCTTACATAAGCCAAATACGCTTGTGCAAGCGTTAAAAGCTGCCCTTCCAGTTTTATCAGGAAGGAAAAGTGTGCTTTGTGGGATGAACGGTTCAAAAGCAATTCAATGACTGAAGAGTACAGTTACAGTCTGCAGGTGTCTGCTTTTCTTTTTTCTTTTTCTTTCTTTCTTTCTTTCTTTCTTTCTTTCTTTCTTTCTTTCTTTCTTTTTAATTTCTAACACGTCTATGCACGGCGTGTCTGGTTTGACATGTTGCATAAGGTATCTTAAAGCAACTCTCTAGAAACAGTTCACTTGCGCTCCTCCAGGTTTTTTGCGAGCATGTCAAATGGAAAAATCAGAGACTTTGACGAAATCACGTCTTTTCTGGGCGACTACGGGCTCTTTCAAATTCTCGTTATGGTTCTGCTCAGTGTAAGTACAATGCCCGCAGGATACATGGGTGTAATTGTGGTTTTTGTTTCGGATACACCCGAACATTATTGCAGAAGCCCAAACAGCTCCTCGCGCAACGGCACAGAGTGGGAACAGGAGAATGGTTTCCATGACCGGGGCAGCTGGATGGGACTGGGCAGCTGCTCTCGATACAAGCTCAATGAAAACTGGACAGAAAAAGCAGCCGGCTTCAATGACACAGAACAGTGTTTGGACGGCTGGGTTTTCAGCACTGACAAATACACCACCACCATCGTTTCTGAGGTTCAGTACTGCCTAAATGATCACTGACAGTCAGCCTGTAGTACACGAATTGTTTCGTATGGCTGTGACATTAAAAGACTTCGAGAGCTAAAACATGTAAAAATTGCTTCATGCATTCGAAATAAACTCACTTTATTCTATTATTTTTATCTGAACGTAACCCGAATAACCATATTCTCTCCTTTTAACTGAAGTGGGATCTTGTGTGCGACAATGCATGGAAAGTCCCTTTCTCCACCTCTTTCTTCTTTGTGGGGGCACTTATTGGATCTTTTATTAGTGGACATCTATCAGACCGGTAAGTCTGTCATATAAAAATATGTAATCAACCTTTGTTTAAAAAACGTTAAGATAAGAAAAGGAGGCTGAAAGATATCGTGGCTTTAACAAGTAGCCTTTGTCTTTTTTTTCTTCACGAGGAAAGGTTAAAAAAGATTTTTTTCTTACCTGGGTGAATTGAAAAAACATAAAAAGCTTTTGATATATGATTACTAAAGTGACCTACAAATAAAACTAGTTGCTTTAAAGTTTTAGGAGGAGGGTTAAATTGTTTTCAGAACAGAGTTGTCCAGATAAGTCATGTAAAAATATTTAATACTGCAGTCTGAAAGATGGAGGAGTGTGGCTCAAAGAGGCTCCTAAATTTAGGTCTGTGTATTAAATGTGCATGTTCTTTTGTGTGAGTATGTATTTCCTGGCTGAAAACTATCAAGAGTGTATTTAGAACTCTGCAGGTTTGAGGTTGAAGCCTGCAGAGCTGTTTTCATGTCATCTGAGGCTTGTGTTTGTTTCCAGTTTGGATTCTATGATCCGCTTGTCTCAGCAAGTTGTTTGGTAAACGGATCAAAGATCTGGAAGCAGATATTCAGTCTAAATATCCAGGTAGTGGGCAACAGAGCAACATGTAGTAGTGTACGCACTACTGTGGTAGAAGGGAATCTTTTTCTTAGTTCATAACAAGCAGGCAAAGCTACAAGTAAAGATTGTCTCTTTCACTTTTAGTTATTGGTATTTGAGTTGTTTTTTTATTTAAAAATTTTTTTATATATATATATTTACATATGTATTATTTGATGAGCTGAAACCAAACAATTTTTAACAGTGGTGCTGACAGAAAACAATTAAAACCCATACCATCTGAGAGAATCAAAAAAATAGAGAGAAGTAAAACTGATAACCAGCCCAAACTCACTATGATACTGTTATGTTTTCATGACATTACATCTTTACATCTCTGTATTCCCTATTTCTTCATAACTTTTCTTACAGATTTGGTAGAAAGCCAGTATTTTTTTTCACTATGATCCTACAAACAGTCACCGCCTTGATCCAGGTCACCTCCGTCAGCTGGGTCATGTTCACTATCCTCAACTGTCTAAGAGGACTTGGCCAAATTTCCAATTTCATTGCATCACTCGTACTCGGTAAGACAGCCCATTTGCTTCTATCACACTTCAAGAAGTCTCGGCATGTATTCTCCAGGGCTGAAACAAAGTGTAGCGCAGAGCCATGCTTCTGTTCCTCAGTGTGGCAGTGGTTCAAAACCCATTGAAAGGTTGTGCTGTACCAATTCATTTTGGGTCTTAAAAACCTGGTTGTATTGTGTTGAGGCAGTTTAAAGAAGCATTAATCACTATTTCTTGTCTTTTTGTTAAACATATCACATTTACCTAACACAGAGGAGACACACGTTTCTAGTAGGGTTACATCATCCAGCGTAAAAAAAAAATTGTGCCAAACACGTTGATCCTTCCGCTGTGGTGACATTTTATAAATAAAAGGTCAGCCAATAGAAGCTTTCATGTGAACGAGCAGAATTAAAGTCTACATAAAAGTTTCTTTAACCCCGAGAGGTCTAATCAGCATCTGTGGTGATCCTAACCATAATTTATTATATTATTTAATTTCTTCTGACTATGATTGCCGACTCCTGTTTGTCTGAACAAAGCTGTATTTTTCAGCTCCAGAGGTATCTCCATGAAATCAGATAAAGTGCCTCAAGCATTGAAGGAGCATCCTTTTGATCTAAGGCTGTGCTCCTTGAAAGAAAGGCGTTTTGGCTTTTTGTAGCTTACTTTTCATCTTCAAGGCTCTAGGCTAAAGTAAAATACTCCTTTAAACCATTGTCTCAGAAAACCAATCCTCTCATGTTTCCTTACATTAAAGCCCAATCCTTCATCTTTGTCTTGTCCAGGTTCTGAAATGCTGAGTAAGTCTGCCAGGGTGACCTACATTCTGCTGGGACACAGTCTTGGGTTTGGCTTTGGTTATGCCTTATTGCCCCTCTTTGCTTACTTCATACGTGGCTGGAGGATGCTGCTGGTTGCTGCTGCCCTCCCAGGCTTCCTATTTATTCCAACGTGGTGGTAAATCTAATGGATGATGATTCATGTAACCAGTGCACAGAGAATTTTATTAGGACTTTGTGCACCCCTGCATTTCAGTGCATTAATCCGATATTAGCAATGCAATTTTAGAGAAACATGTCAGTATTCGGGTTTTAGCATTCAGTTAAAGGTTACGTAAAAAATCTGAATGGTGAAAGATTTTACCATGATATTATTGTAAGTGCTATTGGCTGTTTTTAAAAACAAAACAAAACAAAACATAAGCGTCTCTTGGGTTAACTCTAATAAAACATATATAATATTGTGGTCTGATGAAAATGACCAGAGCAGCTGGAGCTGATACAATGACATAGCTAACTCACATAACTGCTGTTTATATTTGTGGTGTTCACGACATGCCCAGCCTTGTCAATAAGTAGCTATAGGTTCCTGTTAAACAAAACTGGAAAACTGAGTCCACAGTTACTTGTTAAACTCAATTTCCATGTGATGCTGCATGTGGATGTCTCATAACAGCAACTTTGCTTCTTGTTATGAAAAGTATAAAACATATTCACATACATTATAGAAATATTTGATTAGCGAGTGGAGACCAACAGACGTGTTACAGCAGGCAACATCAAAATTTGTGCATGTACTATTTGGATTCACTGTGAAAGTAACTCTGGAACGTTTGATGAATGCAGAGTTAGAACAGAAGTTAGTCAATGCCTGCAAGATAATGTTTTTGTTTAGTCAGATACATTACATGCACATATTCTGTCACTCAGCGTAAAGAATTAGAATATTTTTTATTTATCCTTCAATCTAACCAGCCAAGCTAAACGAATCTATTTTTTTGGTTTTATTTGTCTTTGTGTTAATATATAACATAAAAAACTGTTCAAGTGCAAGTTGCATCAAAGCAAACCAGAAGATTTATGAAATAATGCCCTTTAGGCAGGCAAGGCCAAATTAGGAAAATTTGAAAATAACCTATCAGCACAATCATGTCATGCCAACTGTCAGGCACGGTGGTGGAGGGTGGTGATTTGAGTTTGTTTTACAGCCACAGGATTTGGGCACCTTGCAATCACTAGGCCGACCATGAACACCTCTGTATACCAAAGTATTGTTAAGTCAGATGTGAAGCCAACTGTCGGACAGATAAAGCTTCATCCAAATTGTGTCATGTAACAGGACAATGATTGAAGCCACAGCAGCAAATCTGCAACAGAATGGGTGAAAAACAAAAGAATCAAGGTGTTGCAGTGGCCCAGTCAAAGTCCAGATCTCACCCTGACTGAAATGCTGTGGCAAAACCTTAAAAGAGCAAATAAACGAATGCCCACAAACTGCAATGAACTGAAGCAACATTGTAAAAAAGAGTGGGTCAAAGTTCCTTCACAGCGATATGAGAGACCCATAAAGTCATGCAGAAAACTTTTACTTCAAGTTATTGCTGCTAAAGGTGGTTCTACAAGCTACTGAATCACACGTTGTACTTAGTTTCCCAAAGGACTGCTTAGAGTGAAAACAAGTGAAAAATATCTTTTTGACACAATTGTATATATACTGGAGGAGTGTCCACCACACAGACAGAGAGAGAGAAAACAACAACGGGTCCAACCCACTACAGGATCTAAATAAACAGGAATAATGAAATAAAACAGATTAATGAACTTAATTAATAAACCTCAGAATTGTTCCTCATATATATTCTGACATGTAGATTTAGTTACATCTGGTATCACACAGTACATCAAATACGTACATTACTGAACTGGCGTTACTGAAAACTGTCATGCTGTCAAATCCACTGAGGGTTTTGCTGAGTGATGCAATAAGTCTTTTGTTTTCTTTTAGAAACCAGAATGGCACACACATAAAACAAAGTCCAGCCTCACTATCCTTTTTACGAGCGCATGAAACTAATTTCTCAAAAGCAAAGTTCACTCACGATCAGTTCAGACAAGATAACACTGTTGTCAGTCAGCCTGGACGACATTTGGGTGACAGTTGTGATAGATAACACGTGTTTTCACTGAATCTGGAAAAATCTTGTTTTGAGGTGCATGTTTTGCTACACGCTTTTCACTGCTCTTGTGTGTGCAGCTTGATTCCTGAGTCGCCTCGTTGGCTTTTGCAGAAAGGTCGAGTGGAGGAGGCTGAGCTTGTCATACGTAAGGCTGCCCAGTGGAACAGAGTCCCCGCCCCTGAGGTCATATTCAGAGCTGGGGATTGCTTGGAGCTCATGGTATCATTTTTTTTTTATTTCCTTGAGCTATGAAAGCCATTGTGCTCCAGTATAAAATATAACTTAAATTGTAGAAATCACACAATACTTTTCCACCATGCAATCTGAAATTATTATATATTCAATGTGGACAGACGACTTTGCTCTATAATGTTCTGTTTCTTTCTGTGTCTAATTCAGCAAAATAAAGATGAAGAACAGCAGACATACACTTACATGGACTTGATGCGCACCCATAACATAAGGAACATAACAATTTTAGGTGTTTTCATATGGTAATGGGCTTTCCGGAAACATACAGTAATGCCAGATATTGTGTTGCATGTTGTAGTAGCAATAATTATGCTGTCTAATGTAAAACAAACTTGTATTGCTGAGTCTTGATTATGCTTTTTTTGCAGGATCTCTGTGGCCATGGTCTACTATGGGCTCTCTCTCAATAGCAGCAACCTGCATGGAAACATCTACCTCAACTGCTTCATTTCTGCAGCCATTGACATTGTTGTGTATGTAGCCACCTGGCTTCTGATTGATAGGGCTCCACGGCCCACTTTACTCTTCACCACGCTGATGTTCTGCGGTATCATGCTTCTGGTTATAAAGCTGGTTCCTGAAGGTATGTGTACAATATTAGCAGTGCCAGGAATTAACTAGAACACTCGGTAGATTAGCACATTGTTTAAACTTTTTCTAATCACTGCCTTTTTCTTTCCAGACATGCCCATCATGGTCCAGGTGTTGGCTTTGGTGGGAAAGACCGGTGTATCTGCTGCTTACTGCTTTATCTACGTGTTTTTCACTGAGCTGATGCCCACTGTGGTCAGGAACATGGGCTTGGGGATCTGCGCCACAGCTGCACGAATAGGAGCTATCATATGTCCTTATTTACTTTACATGGGTAAGTGTGCTTTCTTTTTGTTTTTCGGTCAGAGAGCTTAGGGGAGGTGCATGGGCATCAAAGCTGAAGCAACAATATCCATGTTCGGGGCTAATCTGGCATTTTAGTATTTCAGTTAGTGTTTCACTTTGATAACAGGGGCAGTGGTTAGCATTGCTGGCTCACAGCGAGAAGAGTTATATCCATGTTAGGGCATTTCTGTGTGGAGTCGGTACATTTTCCTCATGTGTGGGTAGTCTGGCTCATTCGTACAGTCTATAGACATGTGTGGGGTTAGGCTAACTAGATGTGAAGCATCTATGGTTGTCTGTCTCACCCTATGATAATTAAGTCTCCCAGCAACCCTAAAACAGATAAGCAGAAGAAACTGGATGGATGGACTTTGATTGGACAGCCTAACATTGCATCCTGGTTTGATCATGATTTCTGTAATAGGTTTGCAGTTCATGAGCCTGAGTGAAGGAAGCCATGACAACAGAATTGACCTTAATGTGTAAAATCAACAGAGACCACTTTCAAATGACAAAGTCCACTTTAGGATTGATGGTTTAATAAATAACACTATACATGCAGTTATTATCAGAGGCCTCATCCTCATTTCTACTGTGACCTAGAGTTGTCATGTGTGATTTAAGTGGTTTGATTAAGGAAGTCTGTTTTCCACCTCTCTTGAAATTATTTTTAGTTGGTTACAATTTTGTATATTCATTTCCCCAATGGTTTTCTCATCTTCTCTGGACTCTGTATATCTTTTTATTTCTGAAATACATCTTGGTAACCTGACCTCCTTCCATTATTGTGTACAAGAGAATGTGCTAACACCATTTTTCCCTTTTTCCGTTTTGTTTTTTTGTTGCCAGTATATTGCTTTATTGATCTGGTTTTAAATGTATTTGTAAATGTTGTAATATAATTCTTAATGCTTGTGTATTGTGCACATCTTCATGATGTGGAAATCCTTTTAACAGTGAAAAGATCTCTCATCGTTCCATTTTAAATGCCTTTTATTTTTCTTGCAGGTCTATACAGCAAGATCCTTCCCTACATCATTTTTGGCACAGCCAGTATTATGGCTGCTGCCATTAGCATGTTGTTGCCAGACACCAGAAACAGCAAACTCCCTGACCTTCTCATCCAGACCAAACACATCAGACGGTATGCTGTTGATGGACGTACCGAGTTCAGATTTCCCTTTTTTTTTTAATGGCGTAATGTTTGTGGATGGGAGTACACTATAACCATGACCTGAAATTAAAGGATCCGGCTTTTGATAATAATTCTGTTACTAATGTATTTGTATTATGCAGTATATATAAACACACTGGCTCGCATCAGAAACATTTTAATTAAAAGGAGCAAAAATTCTTCAGAGCCAACTGAATCACAGCATTTTTTGTGTGTGTGTGTATTTTAGCCATTCTTATTTATCTGTTCATTCTGCCTTCATTTCTCTTTATATCTTTAAGCTTCTCCTGCTGTTCAAAGGAAGCTCTTTCAACCCGACCTGATGCAACTGAAGGCTTCAAAGAAGTGAACTAGAGTGCCATCTACTGAAAGGAAATCACACAGCAAGTGTGGAAGGACCACATGCATTTGAAAATGAACTACATGTATCGTTAGCTTTAAGATGTGTCTGTAGGACTGTGAGAGGTTAATCTGAAGAAAGTTAACTGAGCTTCTTTGTTCTTGTCATGCAGAATTAGTGATATACTTAAATTCCTGGGTTTACACTTTCTCCATCCAGAGTCTTAAATGGTGCTTTTGTTTTTGGCCTACTTGATTGTTCGTCTGTTTGTTTTTCAGAATGTATTTTTATGCACTCTTGTATTTACAACATTTATTAAAATAAACTGCATCTCACAATGACGTAGACAAAAAATAAATTGTGTAGATGGTTTTGAAATAGATTTGCCTAATTTGATAAGTCTTCATGTCTGTCCAGTTTTTGCTGATTTAGAAAAACACCCCTCATTTGATTATATTGTGCTAGGAAACTCAGATTTATTGAAACGTGTGTAAAAATACATTCGGAATACAAAAATAGTTTGCACAATTCTAAAGAGCCTGAAAGTGGTATCACCCTTATTTTTCAGTATGTCCTGAACTCTTTTAAGTTTTCTTAGGAATAGTTCTCCAGGGTTCTTGAACAATATTCAAGCTCTTCTGTTTTGTTTGTTGGCTGTATTTTGTTCTGTTCCCAGTGTTGTGGTCCAGATTCTGATGAGGCAAATCCATCACTTCCAGTGTTCCACTAAAGACATGATTTTCAGATTGTGTTCATTTGTTTCTTCAATTGTTTTTCTCTGAAGAACACACTGCACACCATGATGACATGTTGTGTTTGAGCTAATAGCTCTTACAATGTGTAGACACTACACTGGTTTCAAAGTGGTGTTTTTTGCTTCCATAATTCATAGGTCAGTGTTAAATGGCTTAATACCATAAAACAGATACATAGTCTTCTGAAAATGGTCAGGTACAACAACTTGGCCAAACCTGAGTGAAAAATCAACCAATGTCCAAAGAAAAAACAGAGGGTCTTTCGAAAGTCTGGAGAATTATTGCCCATGACAACTTAAAAAAATAATAAAAAATAAATAAATGCAAGAAAGGCTGGCAGTGTGGAAGGATGAAATAAAGAAATGAAGGCTGGCTTGAGACCTTCGCACGGTAATGTACATTGCTAATCCGAGAAAGAAGCGCAGTCACAATAGAAAGTCTCAGGCCTCCGTTTTGTGCTTCAGGTGAATGGATGAATTGTTAGCCAATCAAACAGGCAGCTTGGAAGGCTATAGATCCGAAAGACTTTCAAGCAGTACCATCAGCTTCACGATTATTTATTTATATAAATAAATATTTGAAAAGCCTGCATTCCGGATAGTGTTCTAAAGAAATAAGTGTTATTAGTGCCTTCAAAGATAGATCCATATGTCTTTGAAGGCAGGTTAACAAATAGAAAGAACTTTAAATCTTTTGTTTTTTATTATTTTACAATATTTTTTACAACTTTGTTATTTCCCATTTTACAAAACAAAAGGCCCTCACAGCATGTATTCGCTAAAGTCCTTTGTACAAAAGGTTGCACGTTTTAAAAAATGTAATGTAAACACACAAGTAGAGCGATAAAATAAAATACGTTTTATAAAAATCGAATTAAATTTAAATGATCAAATAACGAGACTAATTTACGGGTTTTGTTTAATTATTTTTATTTTTCCTTTTTTACTAAAGAGTTTCATTTCATTCGGCCATCTGTTTACGTATGCTTTGGTATCTGTTGGAAGCATTAAGTATCTATATAAGTCAGCGTTCATACCGTCGATGGTTCATACTGCTGCTCGCGCAGCTGTCTAAAATATCGCGAGATTGCTACTCTGGACTACTTAAGGCTCAGTCTTGACTGCACCGCGCCCCCGTGATCATCCCTGCTGAAGACACTAGACCCCGGTGTCTACAGCAATAACACACCTACCCCGCTGAAAGAAGATATTGGGATAAAACAGCCAGTTAAGCTAATGTTTCTAACTTAAACAAAGGGGGAAGTCACCGGAAGAAAAGTGAACAAACATCCGCTTGCTTTCGACTCGCGTGAAATGTGCGGCTGTCACGCAACAGCTAGCAGATGAAGTTAGTTAGATAGCTAGCTAACGTGTATGTGCTGATAGTTATGGCTTTAGCTTTGAAAATCTTTTTTTTGCCTTTACGTTGTAGCTAGTTAATCCTCGATTAATTGGACATTTACATTTTGGTGCAAGTGCGGTGACCATTATGCTAGTTGTCGTGCTACGTCTACTCATCTAACACTAACCTAGCTAGCTAAGACTGGTGTTATATTACCGTATTTGTATTCATAATTTGATGTGTCGCTCTTGTAGTAAATTAGAGCTGAGTCACAGGTTAAGCCGGCGTTGATTTGAAGACACAAATTAAGTAAGTTTAGCCAGGTTAACTGTCCTACCTGGTAACAGCTAAACAGAAAACGTCAAGTAGATAGCATCTAGTCTACAAGACAGTGTTTGTCTATTATCTAACCTCCCAAAGTTGCACGTGCTAATCACAGGCCCCTTACCTTGTCAGCAATTTCTAAATCATATAGATTACAGGATCTTATCATCTGTAGCTGTAGAGGAAAGTGTCACTCAGTCCAAGTTCATATTTTACCCTCAAATAAACATGGCTCCTAAAAAGAGACCAGTGCCCTTAAACATTGCTCCTGCTAGTGATGGATTATCCACCTCCATGAATACAGAGATTACATCTGAGTAAGTTGACCTGCTGAGTTAAAATTTTGCAGTTGTTTGAAAATATGTTATTCTAAACTGTGTCTTAATTTTATCAGGGCCAATTTAGAAGCGCTGAAGAAAATACTGGAGGAGCTGGACCTGGATGAACAACAAAAGAAAAGATTAGAAGCTTTCCTTACCCAGAAGGCCAAGGTTGGCGAGCTGAAAGATGATGACTTCCATCGTATCTGCGAGCTGGGTGCAGGCAACGGAGGAGTGGTCAACAAGGAGTGCCACAAACCTTCAGGCATAATCATGGCCAGAAAAGTGAGCTTTTGCAATTATAAAACAAAAAGCTGCTGGGTCTTTTATACTTGAGTTGATCTTTCTGGTATTAGTGTTCACCCTTTGATACCCATTTAATATAACACCTTTCTTCTGTTTTTAGCTCATACATTTAGAAATAAAACCTGCAATAAGAAACCAGATCATCAGAGAGCTTCAGGTACTACATGAGTGTAATTCTCCCTACATTGTGGGTTTCTATGGAGCTTTTTACAGCGATGGAGAAATCAGCATCTGCATGGAACACATGGTAAGAGTTAAAAAAATTGTATTCCAGTAGTGTTTTGATCCCAACAAAGATAACATCTTTTCTCTTATCTGTTGCTGAAGATTTATAGAGGACAACTGGATTAAAAAGTGTTTTTTACCCAAACAATCAAATGATGTTGTCTAAAATCCCTATCCATTTTGCCCAATGTCTTTGTAATTGAATTAATCTGGTGGGTGTGGGTGTGTGTATATGCGTGTATGCATATGCAGCAGTAATTTGTTGGAAGTGGGTTAATGAGGTACACAAACTGTGTTAATTCTTTACAGTATACACAAAAAGGATAGAATAATCTAGCCAGTCACTGGCTACATTAGTCGCCTTGAGTTCTTCTTTGCACCTGACAGTGCCTTCTTCCTTGTCCCAAGATATACACTCTCCATCTGATATACTTGTTCCTAATCCTGCCAATTCTTGCCACTCTCAATGTACATCTCAGTTCAATCTTCAATTGAATTCCACCTCATTTTCATCATCAGCCCCTTACAGACGCAGGTCTGTTATTACTTTTGCGTAACTGTTTTTAAGAATCAATCTGTTGGCATTTTCATTTACTTTCTGAATAGGGTCTTTCTGAATAAGGTCTTCAGGCTGCCTTCTGTTATTTTAGCACTCGTATCACAAGTTGCTGTAATCTCTCTGATGTAGGATGGTGGCTCTCTGGACCAGGTGATGAAAGAAGCAAAGCGGATTCCTGAAGAGATTCTGGGCAAAGTCAGCATTGCTGTAAGTATATTATTTTTTGCTGTCATGTTCTAATGTGGTAGTAAGTGGTAGACATTAATGAAACAATGTAGTGTTTTAATTTAATTAATTGAGGTGTTTAAAAACAAACAAACAACCAAACAATCACGTTCTGTCATAGTCATGTTATGATTTGTATTGAGATTAGGATCAAAATAACCATACTTGCTTTGCACAAGTGCATCTAAACACTTGTCACTCTTAGTTCAGGATGAGTTCTGTCATATTGTTTTCTGTAGCATCAAGCCTGTTTAGCGTCATTGACTTCCTTAATTTTTCTCCGCTTTGAAACAGGTTTTGAGAGGCCTTGCCTACCTAAGAGAAAAACATCAAATCATGCATAGAGGTATCAGCATTTTCATTGCGTTTATGATTGTATCTTGAATAAGTGAGTTTCATCTGCAAGTATGATGTGGAGCAGTTTCTATTTACAGCCTAGTTTGATCTCAAGTGGGCCAGATCAGTAAAAGAACTTCATAATAACATCTTACACGCACACAACGATCATTATAGTATGTTTGTTCCCAACTCCTTCTAGACCCCGTTCACTATTAAACTGAATTAAACTTGATATATAAATTTTTTGGAACTAAACTATAGTGTTTTACTCTTTTTGACTGAAACAAGTTGTTGGGATAGTAATATTTTCCATACAGATTCATTTGGGTATTAAAACTTTCATCATTTTTCCCAGAAAAGCAGTGTGGCTTGTTGAAAAAAAATGAGGATATTTATGATTTTACTACAACTTTGACACTTTGCAAAGCCATCCAGAGAAGGGCTGGACCATATCATACCATTCACGGTAATACCGGTGTAATGTTGGGCAACGATAAGAAAATGAAATATCGCGATGAATATGGATAAAACGCGCATGCGCAGTGCCTTTGTTTTCATACGCACATGGCGGCGATGGAGAATGAGAAGGGCGAAAGCCAATCGTTGAATGAAACGGATGAACCAGAATTGGTTTGTAAAAATGTTGCAACTTCAGTGGTGAAACTGGTTTAGCTTTCGTCCGTCAGATACAGAACAAAACACTATTTTCGGTAGAGCATGCTAGCTGGCCGTCGTTATTACCGTGTTTTTTGGAAAATACGGCACACTTAAAATCAATCCTTTGATTTTTCTGAAAATTGACAGATCCCCTTATAATCCCGTGTGCCTTCTGTATGAATTCTGGTTGTTTTTACTGACCTCGAAACGATTTTATGTGGTACACGGCGCTCAAAAATCTGTCAAATGTTTTAGTACGACTTTGGTAAGCCATGAACCCGCACCGCTTGATGGATTGTCGGACCATTACGGCTATCGTAGGCAGGCGCCTCGCAGAGTGATACGTACTGTCCTTCAACATAATAGAGATTGACAGACCACGTGACTTTCGCGCATTGCATGCCGGGAACTCGTGGCAAAATAATCCAAGTACCTGCATCAAATGCAAGCATTTGTAGCACCGCAAAACGTTCATTCTTCGGTTCCAATAAATTCTTGCTTTTTCTTTGCCCCCCAAAAAGGTATGTACAAAACGAAGGAGAACAATGCCGGTCCGTACAAAGACAGACTTGATGAAAAGTCAAAGAAAAGATACGAGGAAAAAAATCAAACCAGTGAAAGGGTTAGACCCTTACGAGCACACAGAGGAACAAAATACGTTAGCGTGCTGCCCAACTTTCACCACGCTCATATTTATAATTATACGGTTCTTGGAGTGAGTGCATACACTCATGAAGTTTAGTAACTTCAGGTCACTGCAACAAGCCCAGGTACAGTTTACCGACGGATGGGTACAGGACCTTGAAATGCACCGTGTAGAA